TTTAGAGACCACTGGTAAACATTCCCAGATGCAATCTATCAATTCTTTAGGCTTTGAATGGCAACACAAATCCTATAGTATAACATATGCTAGTGATTCTTTAATTATTCATTTAAAATATTTAGTAAATGTTGATAAGTTAGTAATTGTGCTAGACAGGGGGTAGGAGGGTTGAAAGAGAACAGTGGAGAGGGTGAGTTCAAGTATATGATATATTTGATACATTGTTAGAAACTTTGTGCAACAGCCAGAACAACAATAATAAAAAAAGTAAAATATTCAGAAAATAAAAAATAGTACGGTCATTGAGTCTTTAAGTTTATTAACAGGAGAAAAGCATGCAGCCATAATATTTTCTATTTGCAATTTCCTTTTTTCTAGCATGACTTTTTTCGATTTCTGTTAATCACTATTTGCCCTTTAATTTAAAGCTGAGTGCCGTACCCTCTAAGATGCCTTCTCTAACTCACTTGGAATTGAGTTAAATAGACCTCCTATGTGCTCAAGTACTTATCCTTTGATACAAACAGCATCTCCAGCTGAGCCTACCAGCCTTGGAATAATATTGCACATAATGTCTGAGCCTATATTTGCTGAGAATCACTATCTACCAGGGTACTTGAGTACCTGCTATATTAGAGGCCAAGGAACTGACCACATCCAGACAGGAAATAAAGGAAATATGTTAAAGTCTGAGATAATTGTTCTTAAATATTAGCATGCATCATAATCTTAAAACACAAGTCCCTGGGTCCCATCCTGATAGTTTCTTAGTCAGTAGATTTAGGATTAGGCTGACCATGTACATTCTTAAACACTTCAGAGCGAATATCCCAGTATAGTACAGGAACTGTGTTTTAAGGACCATTTGTCTTAGGAACTAGAGAAATAACCTCATTTGAAGTTTTCCCCAAGACCAAGTGAAAGGAAAAGACAGTTGAATAAACAGCAGAGAAAAATGGAGCTCTTTGACCCTTTGGGTGTAGGGAGGGATTGTCACACTGTTACAATGTTTGTGATTTACTATGCAACGGGTTTGTATATACAGTGTACTACATATGTATTTCTTAAATCAAGTTATAACTCAAGTGCTGCTGGCATTTAATCAAGACTTCAGAGTCCAAGAATGATCTATTAATGTCCTAATCAAAGATGCACAGGTAGTGGCAGTGGGATGGTGCAGGAGCAGAGAGGAGGTTCTCAGCATTCTAACCAGGAAGCCCATACTGGAGGCAAGCAGTGCACTTGCTTCTGTTACTTAATCACAACTCCTTCAACAATGTGTGTTTCATCAATCAGTATACTGAAGGCCAAGGTGAGTTTTTACTTACAAAAATGGTGATTTGTTAACTAACATGATTAATAATAGAAATGGGCTCACAAGGGTGACATTGAAGTTAAATTTAAGATATGTGGTTTAGATAAAAAATATCCCATAGATATTCTCCATTTTTGCATTAGCAAGGTAAACACCCAAGAGGCTTGTACTCTTTACCCTTAGGAATGGTATCCTAGATGAATCACTAAAGGACTCCGTGTCTGTCCAAGAACTCTAGAAGATTCTGTTAGCTTGGTGCCCGACTCTGGTACTCAGCATTTGTTTTGCAGGAATGTTCCATGTAATGTGGTGGTAGGAACACCAAGTGATAAAGAAAATTAAGCGCTGCTTAAGCATCAGGAATATATCAGATTTGTGCATATATGGAATATGCGTGTATGTGTGTGTGAGAAAGAGAGAGAGAGAGAGAGAGAGAGAGAGAGAGAGAGTTCTTAAGAGCCCACATGAGAGTGAGAGAGGGGAAACAATTGGGACCTAGCATGTCTTTGCAATTTTTATACTGCTTTTAGAACCACTGATGGATAATACCCAGTATTCTAGCAAAAAAAAAAAAAGTCTTTAAATGCTCTTCATTTGGTGGGGATGGGAAGTGACCATAGGCTTAGATCCCACAGCATAGCACCTTGTAAGAGAAAGGTTGTACCAGAGCACAGAACTGGGGAGAGGAGGCAAAATGGCAGATACCTCTGAAAACCAAGAGGTAACTTGAATGAGGAATACAGTTCTAGACTCTCATTTTTGGTGATGGTAACTTAAGTCATTTAGTCCACATCCTCTGCTGAGAATAACTGAAAGAGCTAGAGAGTTGTTTCTTGACTTTGCATAAAAGATTAGAGAGCCGGCTCAATAGTGAAGAATCATGGGGTTAGAGTCTAGGAGGAAGATGTGGATTCAGTAATGTGAACCTGGAATTTGGCTTCTTTGCAATGTTTACTCACACAAGTTGGAACAGTTGGGAGGTGAAAGGATGGATCCAAAATGCCTGTATCTGAGGAGTAAGCATGAACCACAGATAGTCCCTCATAGGTGCTAGAGTTCAGTTTGAACTAATCTGAATTGCTGTGACTGAATTTCTGCAACTCCAATTTTTCTTTTCTTTTCTTTTTTTTTTTTTATAATTCTCTACATTAAGACAATAGTAACATAGGTCTCAAATTATTTCCACAAAGGATTTTTTATTATACTATCTGGCCTTAATTAAAAAAAAGTAACTAGGCCCACAAATAAATAAGACTTCATGATTGAGAATTAGCAGAAACATTAAACATTAGAATCATACTCTTAGGGTGCTCCAATATTGGCATTTTAAGCAATATTAAAAAATAAACATACTTATTATTTTCAAAGTAATTATAGAAAAGACCAAGACTTTCAGCAAAGACTAGGAACTAAAAAATGGTCATTGTAAAACTGAAAAATATAATATCTGAGGTGAGAAAAAAAATTAAACAGCATAAACACAGATAGAGAACTAATAACTCAGGAGATGGGTTAGAACTAATAACTTGAAAGAGGTATGGGGAAACAAAAGAATAAAAATAGAGGCATAAATGTATAAGACACAAAGAATAGAATGAGAAGGTCCAATGTGCATGTTATTGCAATCCTAGAAAAAAAGAAAAGAGAAGATATGTTTGAAGTGACAATGACTGAGAACTTTCCAAAGTGATAAGCCATTATAACACACATACAAGAAGTCCTAAAGCTCAAGAATGATAAATAGAAGCATCACACCTGACAACATTATAATAAAATGTAGAAAACCAAATGCACAAGAAAAATATAAAAAGCAGACAAAGGACAAAGAACAAAAGTACCTTTGACAGATGGATTCTAAACAGAACCAATGGAGGCTAAGAGACAATGGAATGATGACTTGTTAAAGCTTTTAAATAAAATCATTGTTATCCAAATACTACTGTCACTAAACATATTCCTCAAAAATAAAGGATTAAGAATATGGCACCTGAATGAAGTAATAGTGACTTCTTAAGTTTATGTACACAGTTACATATGCCTATTATTAGTAAAGCATTAAGACTTGAGTAGGTTAAACACACAGTGCTCTGAGGTCCTTGTATTGTTGGTGAGCTGATAAAACTACCAACTTATATTTGATGTAAAAAAGTCAAAGATGCATGCCTTAATCTCTGTGGTAATTCTCTAGAGTAAAAGAGGGTATAATATCTGAGGCTAGGAAAAAAATGAAGTAATATATAATAAAATTTTAAAAAAGAATGGAAAAATGTCAAATGTACCATCAGTTGGATCAAAAAGAAAGCAGACACACAGACACACAGCAATGACAGTAGCAAATGTAAACAATTGAGCAATAAAATATCCAGTTAAAAAGGTAACGATTGTGTTCTGAATATAAAACAAAACCCATCTGTATACTACTTACAAGAGTGGCAATTAAAATAGACACATACAGAATGATGAAAGTAAAATGATGGAAAATGTTGAATCATCCAAACACTAACAAAAGTAAGGCTGGTTTGGCCATATTCTTAATATGTAAGATTTTTAAGACAAAAAATCTTGCTAGAGATAGATGATACATATAACTGTTAGTAAAAATATCAATATACCTGGAAATATGATTCTATCATATATTTATATGGAACTATAGAGTTATATGTAATTTTGTATATACTCTCACACACATCTCTAGAGAACCTGGCTAGTAACTGTGTAAGGTTTACCTTTAAGTTCTTAGCAAACTGGCATGGCCACCAAACTCTTTCTTCACATATATTTTGAGCTCCAATAGAATTTTTCCTTATATCTCATTAGGTAGGATAATGGCTATTCAAAGAAGTTTATGTCATAATCCCAAGGACTTATGGAATTTACATAGTGTTGAATTACATGACTAGAGACTTTGCAGATAAAATTAAGTTGAGGATATTGAGATGAGGAGGTTTTCCTTGATTATCCAGACAAGCCCAGTGTAATTACAGAGCCCTTCTGAGAGGAGAAGGAGGGTCAGAGTTGGAGCCAGTTACAATACAAGTTGAGTTCTGGGTGTGCCAATGTGTGGTTGGAAGGAGGCTACAAGCTAAGGAATGTAGACAGCTTGTCGATGATGAAGTTTCCAGAAAAAACCAGCCTAAGGACACCTGGACTCTAGACCCTAAGTCCCATTTTCAGGCTTCTGAGTTCCAGAACTTAAAGAAAGTATATCTGTGTTATTTTAATTCACCATGTTTGTGGTACTTGGTCAGAGTCATAACAGGAACCTAGTAGGTTCCTTGCTGCTGTTGCTTACTCCTGACCTTCATACATTGTTTGGTTTTACTTAAAACACTTCTCCATGAAAGCCTATTTAATCCTACTCAGAGGTAAAGCCCCAGCTCAGATGCTCTCTGCTCCCTCAAACCTTCTCATTACATCTGGAAGGAATTTATGCTCCTCTGAAACTACAGCATTTATAGTGTGGCCCGTCTATTTAGCTCACAGGACATCATTCACATTACTGTACTGTGATGCTCTAAACCTTTGTGCTGTTGTCCAATTCCCAGTCGATGAACTTTACATTTTAGAAATGCATGTTCACAGCATGAATGAGCTACCGAGTGCTGTTGTGCAATATTTAAAAATCCTTCTGCAACATTATATGGAATAGTTGACATTTTACGTAAAAAAAATTGTAACATACGTTTGCAATGTCATACGATCCATTTAGTATCTGTTCCATGTAATGATTTAGATCTCTGAATCTTTTGTAATCTGAATTTGTGAAAGGTAGGTGCCACCAATGAGGAAACCTGTTTTGAAAGGAAAGGAAAAGCAACGTCTTTGTTAGTCTGAAAATTGGCCTCTTTGTTTTAGGATTTTTCACAAAGTTAATAGCTGTATAAGATGAGAAGGTCAGTGGCTTCAGAAAACCATCATATATGTTAATCCCAAGAGTTCTACTGAAATAGCAGTGGCCATTTCTGCTATTTTAACTGTGACTGATACTAGAACTAATTTAATTTAACATTAAATTAATTTTTATGTTCCTTCTTACTTTATTTAAGGAAGACCACATATTTTGTCCTTTTAATACATGTGGGGGCTTAATGAACCTTCTGAAGTTGATTTATAGTTTTTCAAAGAGTTCAGATTGTTTTATTGCTTCCAGGCTCAATACTGACATTATTGCACTAACTTAATTAAACATTTTACATATGCTCCCATCTGGTGTTAGTCTGTTGGACTAACTAGTCTGTTGGAACAAAGTAGCACTATCCCAAGAGTCTAACTTGTAGACTTTCTTCTACACTGTTTGAAATTTCATCTTGATGAGCTAGACTTAAGACCACTTGTTGGGTGGGATAACTTAATGCATTCATTTTGGTGCTTAAATAACATCTGTTAGGAGCTTCCTGGCATCTGCCTCTGACTGATATCTCATGGCTGTCACATCTATACTTAAACACTTTTGGTTGAGACCTAAGCCTGGCTATCATGCTTCCTGGTGAAATTAGCAATGGGGGAGGGGGAGCAATAAAAGATGGTCAGAAAACACACAGAAGTAGGTGAAAAATTCATGCCGTCCATCCACACCTTCTCGTTGGAAATGCTAGGGAAGTGTAAAAGTGGGTATTTTTATTTTATTTAAGTTTTTGATTGTACTGAGGTTTTCAACTAAAGGCCTTGCACTAACTAGGCAGGCACTGTACTACTTGAGCCACACCTCCAGTCCTAATCTATCCATTTAAATGATTAACATTTTTAAAAAAAGTTTGTTGCAATCTAAAGATTCAAATATTAAATTCTTTCATCTGGATTTAGTTATCATGAAAATCAGTACCAATGCACAATGAGTCAGAATAATTAGCAGAATATAACATATATATTCTGTTTAATAGATACATATCTTAGATTTTTTTTGGAAAATAATTTGATAAACAGATGGCTTGGACTCGTTTTAAATATTAATCCATGTACCTGTTTATGAATTTTCCTTGTTGGAGAATAAAACAGCACAAAATTAACTCTATTTCTTTGTGGATGTTTTTGTAGGTACTGAAAAATCTCATGCATAAGTAAGTGCATAAGAATTGATGGATTCTGCCACAGAAATGGCATTCTGTTGTTTGAATCTCATACACTGAATGTATTTGAGTTTTTGAAAATTAGATTTGAGTAACAGTGCCATCATGTTCTCCCTCAATTTTGTTCAAGACAAAGACTTAAAAAAACTACCTGACTTGCAAGTAGACTTGGTGCCTAGTTATGAGGATAATTCACTTTTCCAATACTAGTATTTCTTTCTTTCTTTTTTGTTTGGCTTGGCCATCCTCAGACCATGATCTTTCTATCTATGCCTCCCATGTAGCAGCACCATACCTGCTGTTCTTTTAAGATGGGGTCTTGTTAACTTTTGTCTTGGATAGTCTCCAACTGTGACCTTCTGATCTCCACTTCATGAGAAGCTGGGACTACAGGCACGAGCCACTGTGCCCAGCCCCAATCTTAGCATTTTGTCTGGTCCTCAGAGGTTTTTACACCTTGGGACAGTGACTCAAAATAAAATCCTGGAGAAAAGCAATGCTGAAGGTACAAGAGGGAAAGGAATTTTAACCTCCTTGAGCTGATTAAAGACAGCCATTAATTTTAAGGAAGACTTCTGTGCCTGTGTACTCCTGGAAGGTACCCAGAAATACAAACAGCCCAAGTTGAACACCACTATTATGGGCCATGACTAATTAGAATATTATTCTTCCTGATTCTGACTTTCCGATCACATTTTTCAGATCAGATTTGTAAAACTCTCATGGGTCTTCTGTTGGTAAATTTAGGAGTCAGAGGAACTCTTGCCCTTATCCTTCATTTATATGCACAGATGTAAGGGTGGCCCCTGTGGGAGTGTCTGCACACAAGTACTGCTCAGGATACATAAGACTAAATATTCCACCATCTGTGGATTGTTCAAATGGTTTGAATATCAATTTAGGTACATTGTCAAGAAAGAGTTGTGAGCAGAATCCTAAATAAAGCTGAAAATTGAGAAGAGGTGGGCAGAGAAAGCCCTCTTAAAGTTCTTCCTGTTTCACCAGTATGTAAAATACTGAAATCTAAAAGGATGGCCATTTATCAAGGGTTAGTTCAGACTTTAACTCATGGTTAAATGAGGTATGATGGCAACCACAGATGTCGAATTCAGTATTTTCAGCCAAAGTGTGAATGTTTTGCCCACATTGCTTTTTTTCTCATTCAACAATATTTCCTGTAATTCTTAAACCTGGTGTTTAAGTTTCCAGAACAACTGTACTTCTCTCAGTCTCTTGCACACGTTCTCACACTAATTCCTTGACTTCCCGAGGCTTAATGCACTTTGTTTCAGGATCTCTTTGATGTCTGTAGGCATAGCTCTTCACAAATGTGAACCACTTAGTCTCCTGTTTTGCACAAAATCTCTTCATTCATTGACAACTTTGCTTATATTTATGGTTTGGAAGTTGACTCAACTGAAAGCCACATAAGAATCCACAGGTACAAAGCATGTTGGGTACAGTCAGTGTGGCCATTTCCCTTGTTGAAGGACTATTTATGTAACAAAAATCCTAGTGTGGATAAAAAAAAAATTGTGGGGCGCCGTGGACCATGCCTGTAATCTTAGCTACTCAGGAGGCAGAAATCAGGAGGATCACAGTTCGAAGCTAGCCTTGGGTAAATAGTTCGTGAGACCCTATCTTGAAGAAACCCCACATAAAAAGGGCTGGTGGAATGGCTCAAGGTGAGGGAAAAATAAATAAATAAAATAAACATTTGGTTTACCTAAGTACCAATATAATTTCTGGGAAGTTCATCTTTTAAAGTTAAGATACACTTTTGTTATACATTGAAATCTGTGATCCAAATTTGGCTCATTGTGACATATTTTAGAAAGCTAGGTGAATGGTATTTATTTTCATTGTATTTGTAGTTTGCTTTTGTTTAATGCCTTTTCCATTAGGACCTGAATGGCCAAAAAAATTTTCATGATTGCTTCAACATGAATACAATAACAAATTAAATTTATATAATGCAAATTTTATAACTAACAATTTAAAAGATAATGATCAGTGACAACAAATATGAGTTATAAATAAACCAATTGATATTAATACATTTAGTTTTTTCTGGGGCAGAAACTAAGTATATAAGAGCTTTTTATTTCAGTTATTGTTAAAAGAGTAGGTATGTCTACCTTGGTTCTGCATGTTTAGTTTCAATCTTATTTTTATAGAAACAACTGAGCAGGTCAAATTTTAAAAACAGGTAAATAAAATTTCCAATAATTGATGAAAAATGAAATAAGTTCTGATTTTCTTTGTCTGCAAAATCGATGGCTGGAAGCAAAAGGAAAATTGCAAAGCTTGTTCTGGTTTATGAGACAAAGGATTCTTGCTCTGAGAGCAGAACAGACTCTGCGGGGAGATTCAGGGGCATTGGAGTCAAGATATTGTATTGTTCCCAAATAGAAAAAAACCCCCACAACCATCACTTTTCATTTTGCTCAGGAACAAGTACTGAAGGCAAAACAACATGAGGACAGTGCCTTACTCTGGGAGAGTCAATGAAGCAGCAAACTGCTTCTGAAGCTGGCTGTGAAGTTTGGAGAACTGGTCAAAGGATTTCTCTGTCAGGCTTGTTTCGTTGTTACTGCATGTCACCTGGACCAGGTACAGCTGCAGAAAAATAGCCACAAGTCAAAAGATGGCAATAGTTCCTGAAATCTGTTCCTGAAACCTGGATGTATTTAGATTGGAAAGAATCTTTCTGCAAAAAAAAAAAGTTATCACAAAAAGCTAAGCAATGCAGTTTGTAAAGGCAATATCACCTGAAAACACAATATATGAAGATAACATAATTTTATGTGTTGGGAACAGACTGCTTAATTTCTGCTGTTCTTTTGTGTGGACACTTTAATTAGCTCTTGATTTATATTCTACCACAGGGCAGGAACTGTTTCCTTTGATGGCTCTCTTCTAATAGCTGTGGTTGTTGTGATTTTTCCTTGAAACATCCTCATAATGGCACTTGTGCTTAAATTGGAATGGCTTTTTCATTTGCATAGTTAAAAATTCATGCTATAAGAGAAGATGGGAAGCATAATATGAGATGAAGTTAGATAGACTTTAAACTCACATTGCTGAGTTTCTTGCTGACCCCTAGAATTTTTGCTCTTTGGATTGTCCTCTTTGTACTCAGCATACAGGATTCCTGGGGAAAACTCTGTGGAGTAGATTTGGCAGGGCTTACAGCTGACATTTGTGCAAGCGTGTGGATCAAGTTATTCAATTTAACAGGGAAACACTCCAGACTTTCTCTTATTTTCCTAAAGAAATGAAAAGGAAAAGACAGCAAATAATAATTCTTTGCATCAACTTATTTCATTTATAATTCCTTTCTTTGTATTTGCTAGATGTACGTGTGTGGGGAGCAGGGCAGGAGCCAAACAACTGCTATTTTCATAAACTTCAAGTTCACATCTGGAGTTGTTAACAAATATACAAAAAAAATCATTTGTGGTGAGATACACAACTGTAATTGCAACACTGTATTTTGACATTTTTTTACATTAGTTTTAGTTTGTCTTCTGCTTTTAGAAAGTATGTTTTTCCAAAGCTAATTCTGGTTTATAATTATGTAAAACATTTATGCAAATACAGAAGATATACTACAAAATAATCCATGCTCAAAGAGGACTAGCAGTAATGGACAAACTCTACCCTATTCCCTCTCTCTATACATATTTAAATATTTTTGGAAAGTATGTCTCAACTTTCATTGTTTCTCTTGCTTTAATTTTATTTTTGTGTGTATTCTTATTTCTCTCCCAATTTTCTTAGAAAAATGTAGCATATTAAAATGTTATATTTAATATATTAGTGTCTCATATGACATTTTTTACTCTGATTTTCTTATTTGTTTTGTTGTTTTTGGTGTCTGCTTTTTAAAATTTTATTTTTATTATTGCTGTACTGGGAATACATTGTGACATTTATAACAGTTCTTATAATACATCATTGCTGAATTCACCCCCTCCATAATTCTCCTTTATCCCCTCCCCTCATTCCTGGAATAGTTTCAACGGTCTCATTTCTTCCATTTTCATACATGAGTACATAGTATTTCCACTACATTCACCTCCTACACCCTTTCCTTATATCCCCCCCTCCAACTGGTACTAGTCCCCCCAGTCTGTTTTTTAAAGATTTTTTTTGTATTTAAGAAAGTTTGCATTCTCATTGTATAATAATAGCTTTCAATAATGCATTTATCCTGGTTTTTTTTTTTTTTTGGTTGTTTTCCCTATTAAGAGCAATATTGAAATTGTCTTACTTCTTTTATCTCCTTTGTTTCTTTTTTTCCAGTATTTGAGTTGCAATGTTATCCTACAGGTAACACTAATAGCAAACAGCAGGTTATTTACTTTCCATTTGTCTCCTCGTCCTCTTGCATTTTTAGAAAGCTCTGGTATCTCCATTGTGTAGTGTGTGCACCATGCACACTTCACTCTCGTACTTTCATTTGTTTGTGAGGGCTGTAGGAATTCTTATGTCCTTATCTTTCTAGGCATTTTGACCATCAGAACATCACTTTTTCAAAAAGTGCTTACAGTAAGAAGTTTCTGTGTTTTTGTATGTACACAAGTTTGTCTATGGTCTTTCTACTTGAAAATTTTGGCTGGGTATATCCTTATTCTACATAGTTGAGAAAGAATTTGACTTTGTCATTAGACTTTTGAGTAGTAATCTTTTATTCCAGAATAAAATAGAATAATATTCTCAAAGTACTCAGAAAAATAAAATGTGAAGAAGTTTCTTTTTCTTCAATGTCCAGTAGTTTTTCTTAAACAATATGTTGTAGAATTAGTTATTCTGGAAAATATCTCTGTTAGTGTCCTTTCATATATAATTTCAACTCATTTCACTTTTTCAGAAAATGTTTTTAATTCTAAATATTAAAATACTAAATATAAAATTTATGGTTTTTTTTCTTGGTGGGCTGTGGTTTGAACTCAGGGCTTCATACTTGGAAAGCAGGCACTCTACCATTTGTTCCACACCTCCAGTCCCTTTTGCTTTGGTTATTAGGCAAATGGAGTCTTAGGAATTATTTACCTGGGCTGGAACCTTGATCCTCCGGATTGAAGCTTTCCAAGTAGGTAGGATCACAGGCATGAGCCAATGGCACCCAGCTAAAATTTGGTTTTGATACAGCTTAAAAATACTATTTTGTTTTTCAAGGACTTCTATTTTATGTATGATGGATCTAATTAGCCCAGTTGAAATATAAGGATTTAGCTTATCCCTTTGATAGGCATTTCTTTCTGGTTAATAGTATTATTTTACTATTTTTTGGTAGTACTGGGGTTTGAATTCAGGGTCTTGTACTTGCTAGGTAGGTACTCAACTACTTGAGCCATGCCCCCAGTCCCCCCCTACACTTTTTTGCTTTAGATATTTTTTGCATAGGGCCTTTTATGCCTAGGTTTTCCTGGACTGCTATCCTCCTACTTCTGCTTCCTGCCAGCTAGGTTGAGATATCCATCTTTTATGGGTTGAGATGGAATCTTGCTTACTTTTTGTCCTGATTTCTGCCTGCCAAACAGCTAGGATTACAGTCATGAGCTACTGCACTTGGCTTGTTTTTCTTTTTCTTAATTAATTTTTTGTTCTTATTTTGATTTTCCTTGTTATAGTTTTATATGTTATTTTATGTCACTTACATGGTCTACTTTGGTTGCTTGCTTTAATATGGACTTTTAGGAAGAAGTAGAGAGTTAATTTTCTGGGGCTTAGGGTTCGCTTTTTTGTTGCTATCATAAAGATTTTAAAAACATGGCATCATACTTTCTGAGATAGGCCTCTTATTCTCCTCCCCGTCTAATTTTTTCTGGACTTTGTTTTGGTTCCTTTGCTCTTCTTATCTCTTGTACTCTTAGTTTGGATTGTATATTCAGAACTTTCTCTTCAGGGTGAGACTTTTCTTGGAAGGGAATTTTAGTTGCCTTTGACAGCTCCTAGACTGCACCAACGTTTTCAGATTTGCTACAGGACCCTTGGCCTTGCCTGAGAATTAAGAGTGTGCAAAAATCCATCCCTGTGTCAGCTCTTCTTCTCAAATTGGTCTGCTCAGCTCCCAGTGAGTTCTCTTCTCAGATCAGAAAATCCTTAGCTTCCTGGATTTGATACTATACAGTTCTCACAATTGTTAATGGTTGGCCTCCATCTGCTTGTACTTTAGGATTCTGGGGCATATCTTGCTACTTAGTTTTACTGTACATGTTGTCCAAGCTTTTGAATTTTCTATCTTAGTTGATTCTGTCTGCTTAATGGAGCTTTCAGTCCATTAAAAATTTAACTTTTTATAATACGTAACACAAGCAACACAGGAAAGCTAAAGTATAATGGAAATGGCTATAGAAGAATTTTGTTATGATTTTTTTTGTGGGTGGGATTTGAACTCAGGGATCTCAGGAAGGTACTCTACTACTTGAGCCACTCCATCAGCCCTTTTTTGTGTTGGATATTTTCTAGATAAAGTCTTGTAAACAATTTTGCCCAGGCTGGCCTCAAACTGTAATCCTTCTGGTATCTGTCTCCCAAGTAGCTAGAATTACGGGCATGAGCCACTGGCATCCAGCCATGATTCTTTATTCAAACATTTTTATTAGCATATATTAGTTGTACAGGGGGTTTCACTGTGACATTTCCATATATGCTTACAGTGTAGCTTGGTGAGTTTCACTACCTCCATCATTCTCCCTCATCTGTCCCTCTTTCTTAAAACACGTTCAATAGGTTTCATGCTTCCATTTTCATACAGGTGTATTCAATACATGGGCTTATTCACTCTCCTTTACCTGCTCAGTTCACCCTCCTCTCTCCCACTAAAATCCACCCTCTAACAGGACCTGTTTTAGTTTATTGTCCTTCATTAATTTGTTAATTGTTCAAAGGGGTTTTGCTTTTACGATTCTTTAGAGATTTCTTTGACTATTCATAGAAATATAGACATGCAAACACACACACACACACAAAACACCTATTTACTCCTACTACATCCCAAGTATAATCTAGTTTTAAGATATACCAATGAGCAAAACCAACAGGTCTTTTTTTGCCCTTATAGAATTTATACAATGTGAAATTTAGGCAATGATTAACTAATCAAGTAAAATACAGCATTTGAGAAAGTATTCATGTGCTATAAAGAAAAGTGAAATAGGAAATGGATAGAGGGAATAGGGTAAGTAACAGTGTTACAATTTTAAACTGGTTGGGTCAGGGACAATCTCACTGAAAAGATGAGCTGAGTGATTTGACAAAGACCTCAATTTGCCAAGAAGATACATTATCGAATTTCTGATGAAACACACTCTGTAGCAGCTCAGGGTAGATGAATGAACAGAGCATTTAAGAGACAGCAAAGGACAGCAGTGTGGTTGACATGAAGTGAGGAGAAAAGAAAGGGGATCAAAGAGCCAAGGGGACAGGATGGTGTAAGGACTGTGATGTTATGAGAAGGGTGTTAAACACAGTGTGTGACAGCAAATGGAAAATCATCACTGTGTGCAATTTGTAATTTGTTTTTTTTAAACATGTTTTGTGAGAAAAATTTTAGAGCATCTGGTATATACTAAATGATCCCTAAATATTTGTGGAATAAGTACACCTTCTTTCTAATTCAGATACAGTGTTGAATTACATTTTCACAATGGCCACATGGTGTGTCAAATGATAAACTGATTGTTAATTGCAAAGACATTCTTTCCTTTCTGCTCAACTTTATAGAATACCAAGAATCTTTATATTTGTAGATTTTTTTCTGACCTCTGCATCATGTTCCAATTGTCCATTTGTCTGTCTGTGTGTCACTATTGTACTATCTTAAATAGCTGTGAATTTACAGTATTACTAAAGTCCAGAAGAAAAAATTATTGCATTTTGTTTTTCTGAAGGTATTCTTCATTATTCTGGGCTTTTGACCTCCCAAATATATTTTAGAGTCAGTTTATCAAATTCATTCATATACAAAATAATTGTGTAGGGATTTTGTGTGGCTAGTGCCCTGACACTATAAATCAATTTGAGAAGCACTAAACCTTTTTACATTATTGACACAAGAAGCCCAGAAATGTGGCTTACAGTGGCATAGAATTCTATGATTTAGCATTTTCTTTGTGAAGGTCTTACATATCTTTTGTTAAAATTATTCCTTTGTGGGGCAATTTTGTATGGCATATTGTAGATGTTCCCTTTTCCTCAATTTTATTTCAATTAACATTTGATACTATATGGGTAAAATATAGCTCTCATTAATTTTAGC